GTTTTTATGCCATAGCTTACCAGCACTCACTCGTAAGCTAAGGCGTAGAAGCCTTTAAGAGGCAAGGGAGCGGGTCTCAGCGGCTTAAAAGATAAAACACAACTACGGGGTCAAGTCGCATAGAGGCCGAAGTTCTGTCCACAACTCGCCGACCTTGTCAGGCTTTCCGAATGCGCACTGCGGCGATCACTTAAAGGCAAGGTTCACGATAAGAATGGTTACCGAGGTCTTCTCTTATGGTTAGGAATACGCAGCGGCCCGCCCCCAAGGGTAATAGAAAGGACTCCCTCGCTCCCAAAAACTCGACGGTTGGGGCACAGTGGAAGCCCTGTTCCCGGCTTGCGCGGCGTTCCCGTCCCTCGATTGACGACATGTCAGACGAGAGTCGAGGCGATACAGATTGCAAATTGTCTCTCTAGAACCCACACACAACCAGCTGATCGTTGAGTAATGAGGCGACGGCTTCCGTCTGATCTTTTGTTCTCAAAGTTTCTTTTTGCTGTTGCGATCCCCAATTTAATTTTCTACACCAAGAGGCTGAAAAAGGTGAGCTATTTTAGCTGTTACTAGGGTTTTTTGTTTACTTATGCCTACAAGTAAATAAGCTTCTGCTTACCGTAGTCAGTTATTTGCAGCAGGACCCACACGTACGCAATGAACCAATGGGGAAATTGCACAACTCGTCCAAACGCCCCACTCTTCTTCATTCTTCCGGCCTTATTCTCGTCCAGCCCCTTTTTTAACAATTTTTCTAAGCTTTTCTTCACCACTTTCATCACCCTATTTCCTATCTTATCTTCCATCTTTCATCAAAAGCTGGATTACCCAAAATTATCGTGAACTGTGCCTTTAACTCGAACGCGAACTAGTGCCCGTAGGGTCGAACACGAAGCCTACCTTACAGGAAAGGGCAAACACTCATCAGCTTAGTCACTACGTCAGAATATTCTGACCTCGAGAATGGGGATAAGAAACGTCCTTCGACAGGAGACATAGACTCATGATCAAAACACTTTCAAAATTTATGCCTACAAAACTCAACATAACTCACAGAAATATTCCAGTTCAAGGTCAAATTAAAGCTCAAAAATAGTGCACTTCAGCTAAAACACAAACTCTTACAGGAAAAGTCAGGCAAGAGAACTCTTACAGAAAAACATAGGCAAGGGAAAGTTCATAAAGGAAGGGTGAGAGTGTGGCTGTCTGCAGAACAGTGCCGAAGGGACAGCGCTGATGACAGATCGCGTCTCAATCCCCTGGGACAANACTCAACATAACTCACAGAAATATTCCAGTTCAAGGTCAAATTAAAGCTCAAAAATAGTGCACTTCAGCTAAACACAAACTCTTACAGGTGAACTCAGGAAAGAGAACTCTTACAGAAAAACATAGGCAAGGGAAAGTTTAGAAAGGAAGGGTGAGAGTGTGGTTGTCTGCAGAACAGTGCCGAAGGGACGGCGCTGATGACAGATCGCGTCTCAATCCCCTGGGACAAGCAAGGCGACACTTTCACCCTTCGGCTATGTCAACCGATTCGACAAGCAAGACAATCCAAGTGCGCGGACTTCAGAGCTCAGCGGAGAGAATGAGAATGAAAAAAAAA